TTTTTTTTTTTAACGTTTATTTATCTTTGGGACAGAGAGAGACAGAGCATGAATGGGGGAGGGGCAGAGAGAAGGAGACACAGAATCGGAAGCAGACTCCAGGCTTTGAGCCATCAGCCCAGAGCCTGACGCGGGGCTTGAACTCACGGACCGCGAGATCGTGACCTGAGCTGAAGTCGGACGCTTAACCGACTGAGCCACCCAGGCGCCCCTCGTGGTCACTTCTCCTACTCTTTGGACCCTATTTGTCTAGTCCTGGTCTCTTCATACGTCGGCCTTTCCTCCAGAACGGAGCCCTTGTCTTTCGCCTCTGACTCGCTGTGAGTCTGCGTGCGTCGAATGAGAACGCACTCAGGCCCCAGCCCCATGGGGCGCAGTGTGCCGAAGGGTGGCCCCTGTCGTGCTGAGTAGTGTGCCCTAGAGCCTGTGGATGTGATCTTATCTGGAAAATGGGTCTTCTGCTTTGCAGGTGCAGTGAGGAAAGGATCTCGAGATGAGATCATTCTGGAATGTGTGAGTGGGCTCAAATCCCAGGACAGGTGTCCTCCCACGAATAGGAGAGGACCCAGACACGGGGCAGGTGTGGGAAGATGGCACCCGGAGGGACGGGGCCACCAGCCCAGCACCGCCTGGAGCCCTTAGGAGCTGGACGAGGCAGGAGGGATCACGCCCTGGGGCCTTTGGAGGGAGGGCGGGCCTGCTGGGAGAGAATAAATTCCCATAGTTTTGAGACCCCCAGCTGGTGAGTTTGTTATGGCAGCTTCAGGAGGCTCCTTGTGTGGGGGAAGTCACGCCTTTTTCTCTCTTCTGGAATCCTACTCTCACTCTCTGGTTCGGTGCTTCCCGTCCTGGGCGCCGGCAGCCAGGCAGGGTGCGGGGTGAAGCAGGTTTTGGGATGACGCAGCCAGGGTTGAACCCCGGGCCGGTCAGTTGCCAGCGGGCCCGTTCTGAGCCCCCTGTTCCACCTGCCTGAGCTCACTGCCCGCTCTGTGTCGAGCACTATGGTGTCACCCCCTCGGGATTCGCTGTGGGGGACCCAGTGAGACGCCCAGCGCCGGCTACAGGGCCCGGTTCCCAGCATCGCTCACTCGGTGAGCGCCGGTCCAGCTGTGCGCTCCTGGGCCACAATCCCGGCTGCCTTTTCGCATCCACGCCTGCCACTCAGCAGGTCAAACGCTCACTCAACGCCTCTACGCGGAGCCTGCAAAGACCAACAGTCTGCTGGTGACACGGTCAGGGGATGGAGACCGTTGGAAACCACATGGAGAAAAAGCCCTGGGCGCTGATCTGGTGTCTGCCAGATAAGGACTGATCGGGTGAGGCTCTGGCTCCGGAGATGGTTAACTGAAAGCCGCAGTCCTTAAGAGGGGGTCCCTGCACCCGCTGTATCCGCGTCACCGGGGAGCTGGGTAGGAATGCAGATTCTCAGACCCATGGAGTCAGAAACCGCTGGGTTGTCTGTCACACAGCCTCAACCTGAGTTGTCACACGCCCTCAAGGGGACTCAGGCCCGGGTGCTAGGAGTAAAGCCGGTTCACGTTAGAATTCCGGATGTGACCTTCGTGGACCTGTGTTTTCCCGAAGGGGACAATTTCCTGTATTCTGCCATCTCAGCGGACAGCACAGCAGGTCGGAGAAGCGGTGTCTACTCAACGTCCGGTCCCAGACCAGCAACGCCCGCCTCCCCGGACCTCGGGAGTGATGTGGAGTCTGGGCTCCACCGAGGGGACAGTGAATTCGAATCTGCCTTCTGACAAGACCCCAGGCGATTCACGTGCACATTCGTTTCAGGGGCCAAGCACCTGCTGACTGCCTGGGCCTTTGCACGCACTTGAGTCCACAGCGGGCCCCACAGCCCACGGCGAGCTGCAAGGTGGGCACGCGGACCCCTTTGTGGATGGAAACTAGGCTTGGAGAGATCACATGGTCTAGCTGAGCTCTGAGCTCTTAACCAAGCCCCCCTTCCTCAGACTGGGGGGCCTCAGAGAGGGATCCTGGGCCCAGGTCATTGACTGAGATCAGGTGCAGGCCTGCCCCTCCTGCTCTCCCAGCTGCCCTCCATCAGACCCTCAGCAGCCAGGAAAGCCCCGCCTCCTGGGAGGGGCCTTCACCCGGGTGGGGGAGGGGAGGGCGCCTTAAGACCCCCTCCTCAGGCTGGCAGTCGCAGAGCGCTGCAAGCTCTTGGGACCGATGGCTCTGACCTCTTGTCCTTGTTCCCCTTGGTGTTGAGACATGACCCCAACACGTGCTCTCTAGAGCTCCCTTAATTCCCGAATCATCTCCCCACCTCGGGCACAGCTAGAACCTTCCTTCTTCCACCAGTGGGGCCCAAGAAATGCCGCTGAACCAGCTGGAGCGAGCCTGAGCCCTGTCCCTGATGGCTGACAACTATCTGATCTTGAAGTCTGGATTTGGGGGTAAGGGTGAGGGGCTGGGG